ATGGCGAGGATAAAAGCTGCTATGCCAAGAATCTATGAGCTTGCAGCTGGAGGCACCGCTGTCGGTACCGGCTTAAATACTAGAATTGGCTTTGCAGAAAAGGTTGCTGCAAAAGTGGCTGCACTCACAGGTTAGTGACCACATGAATTATTTTTTGTTTTCATTATGCTAGTCTAGGTGTTTCTGCCTTGAATTTTTCTGAATTTAAAGTAAGAATTAATATTTTCTCGTCAAACTTGTGTTTTATATCTATTTCCAAAGTTGTAATGTTAATTCTTTTGCTTTTTAAAAGTTTTCCATATATGAGTTTATACGTCATGCAGTGAAAATCTACCAGTGTTAACTTTGTTTACTATCTGGTGATATTCAATTATTTCCCCTTTAAAGTGCTTTTGAATAGCAATTTTAAAAATAGGCAGAAACAACTGATTGTTGAAAAAATTATTTGAATGGTAAATATGTTGTAGACAAGCATAATTTCTTTTTTTCCTGTATCATGCTGTGAATTATTGACCTTTTCGAATCCTATCTTTCCTTCAGTAGAGGAAGTACTATGCTCTAGATAATGATAACGATTATTAGGGCCAAGTTTTCATCTTGTCTCCTATTAAGATGTGGATGTTACCAGAGCATTAGGGTAGAGATAATTATACACTGCACATTATAGCTTACTAGTTGATTTGTTTTTAATCAAATTTTACTAGAAAAGAAATGTATTTGTAGGGTTTAGAATATGTATATCTTTAAAATTTTTAACATGGGAGAGATCAACTGAGAACTTATAACTCGTTATAGATCCTTCTTCTCTCAGGAGATCTTATGGGCCCCTGGCTAGTGGACTGAATGAGACAGAGTAAAATGGACAAAGAAATTTTTTTTTTAATTGTATTAAGGAAGGAATGTGGAAGAAAGCAGAGTGAATTCTACCTACTTTTCATCTTTACTCAAGAGTAGTCAGGCATCATACATGTGTGTTTGCGGTAGGATGGTATTTTTTCTTTCAATATATATTGTACTTGATAATTCATCCTTTAAATGTAGTGTCAGATTCTTTATATTCCTTCAAGACATAGACAAAGCTTTGAATCTCAGAAAGCAGACAAAAACATACACTGAGGAAAGGACACCCTATTCAATACATGGTGTTTGGAAAATTGAATAGCCATATGCAGAAGAATGAACCTGGATCCCTGTCTCTTATCGTATATGAAAATTAACTCAATATGGATTAAAGACATAAATGTAAGACCTGAAACCATAAAAATTTTAGAAGAAAACCTAGGAAAAACTCTTCTGGACATTGGCCTAGACAAAGCATTTATGACTAAAACCTCAAAAGCAAATGCAACAAAAACAAAAATAAATAAAGGGGACTTAATTAAACCAAAAAGTTTCTGCACAGCTAAAGAAATAATCAACAGAATAAATAGACAACCTGCAGAATGGGAGAAAGTATTTGTAAACTATGCATCCAACAAAGGACTTACCCAGAATCTGTACGGAACTCAAACAACTTAGCAAGAAAAAGACAAATAACCCCATTGAAAAGTGGGCAAACAACGTGAACAGACATTTTTCAAAAGAAGATATACAGTGGCCAATAAACATGTGACAAAATGTTCAACATCACAAATCAACAGAAATGCAAATTAAAACCACAATGATATACCATCTCACTCCAGTTAGAATGGCCATTGTTAAAAAGTCAAAAAACAATAGATGTTGGCATGGATGTGGTGAAAGGGATTGCTTATACACTGTGAAAGAGTAAATTAATGTAACCTCTGTGAAAAACAGTATGGAGATTTCTCAAAGAATATCTCAAAAGTAGATCTACCATTTGATTCAGCAATCCCACTACTGAGGATCTGCCCAAAGGAAAAGAAGTCATTATATCAAAAAGATACCTGTGGTTGTATGTTTATAGCAGGACAATTCACAATTGCAAAGGTATGGAATAAACCTAAGTGTACATCAACTGATGAGTGGATAAAGACATTGTGGCATATATATGCCATGAAATAGTACTCAGTCATAAAAAAGGATGAAATAATAATATCTTTTGTAGCAATTTGAATGAAACTGGAGGTCATTATCCTAAGTGAAGTAACTCAGGAACAGAAAAACCAAATACCGCATATTCTTGCTTATAAGTGGGTGCTAAGCTATGGATATGCGTGGTCATATAGAGTGGAAAAATAGTCACTGGAGATTCCAAAGGTGGGAGGATGGAGGAGGTGAGGGATGAAAAATTACCTGCGGGGTACAATGTACACTATTGAGGTGATGGGTACGCTAAAAGCCCAGGCTTCACCACTATACAACATATCTATGTAACAAAATTGCGTTTGTACCCTAGATCTGCCAGGGGAAAAAAAGCTTGAGGTTTAAACATTTTTTCTGAGGTAAAATTTTTAGTCTGTTTTTGTTTTTTGTATATTGGAACTTTCTGTTTAACTTGCTGATAGTAGAAAAATGTTTGATTTTTACCTGTTCACTTATATAGGTTATTTTTTTTTCTTTTCTTCAGGGTTGCCCTTTGTCACTGCTCCAAATAAATTTGAAGCTCTGGCTGCTCATGATGCTCTGGTTGAGCTCAGTGGAGCCATGAACACCACTGCTTGCAGTCTGATGAAGATCGCAAATGATATTCGTTTTCTGGGCTCTGGTCCTCGGTCGGGTCTGGGTGAACTGATCTTGCCTGAAAATGAACCCGGAAGCAGTATCATGCCAGGTAATCACATAGCTAACAAATGCTGGTGTTAGAACTTGGCTGTTCTCAGCTATGGTATGTCTCTTTTCGTTTAATATGATCCCAAAGCTGGGTGGGGATACGTGGGGCACACTTGTTACAGAATGTCCACGGGCCAATTTTAATCAGGATTTCTGAGAACGTCACCTAACAAGATAGGAAAAAAGAATCTCAGTTAGCAGCATATATTTTGATTCCACCTTAGAAAATGCCTACTAATCCTGTCTTTCACAGGCCAAAGCCAAGAGAATTCTATACTAGGCAAAGTGATCAGCATGGGTTGAATAAAAATAAGACATACCAAACTCCTCTTATTTGATTTTTTGCATTGTGTTGTGGGCCTGTTAGATAAGGAGAGTGAACAGACACTAGAAGTCTGGATTTTGATTTGACAGACGAGCATGATATTCACTGATTCCAGTGGAGCAATGGGACAGTGCTGGTGGATCAGTGTAGCTGGGTGAATAGTGACATTTAAGGAGTGACTAATGAGCTGACTTGAATCTGGAGTAATATTTTGGTAACAAGTTGAAGGGCTCTGCGCCTTTACCATTTTACTGGTGACTGAGGGTGAAGGCAGAGAATACCTGCTGATGATATTAGCAGATAACAAAGTTGAGCTAGCAACTGTCAGATGACAGAATTGCCATACCCAAAGGCCTCTGCAGGTTGGCTTGAAACTGACAAGGTAACTTTTAAATGGTGAGAAAGAAAGGCCTGACTGTAAATTCTTTTAAATCTATGCATGTGTAGAATGAGAAGAGATCTGGTTTTAAAGTCTTTCATGTTGACAAATGACAAGAGTTTAGTTGATTGCAAATCCAAGGTGATTGCCGAAAAAGGAAAAGTGGGGAGTTACAGATAAAGGAAATAATCTTCCCAGTGCGTTACTTTGTACTAGTTAGAGGAATCGGGGATATTTGGTCAAACACGAGCTTATCTGAGGAGTATTACCAGGATGGTGGTGTTGGCAGAGTTTCATGTGACGAACAGGATAATTTCAGCTTAACATCAGCTTCCTCTGGGAAGCCTCCATGTGTTGGGGACGGGTCTCTCTTTTAAGTGTTCTTTATAGCAGCATACACTTCTCTGATTTACCCCTTATCTGTTGTAATTGCCAGTTCTCTCTCCCTAGCCTCCGAGTTCTGTGAGGGCAGGGCCTGCATCTTTCTTAGTCACCATTGCATATTCAGTGCCTGGCTCCATAAATATTTAGAGAGGGCACAGTGGCATGTGCCTATAATCCCAGCTATTTGGGAGGCTGGGGTCGGAGGATCACTTGAGCTCAGGAGTTCAAGACCAGCCTGGGCAACATAGCAAGAACCTGTCTCTACAAAAAATAAAATGAATAAAAATTTTTAAAAAATCAGGTTCCTTAAATATTTATGGAATGAACAAAAGCCATGCAGGTGGAGAACTATATTTCATGTATAGTTGTGGCTACTTATTAGCAATTGAATGATTCAGTTGTGGCTACCCATTCCCCTTTCCTTGGTTTGTTTCATCGTATCGACACTGATGGTTGGGCCTTGCTTTATTGTAATGTATTACTTTATGTAAAGAAATTAGGCCTCCTTCTTTCCCTGATTATTTGGATTAAATTCTAATCTTAACTGATACTTGAAACCATGAGTGTATTTGATGTGGACTCTGTCACTGGTGGTTTTCTTGAAGGCAAGGTGAACCCCACTCAGTGTGAAGCGATGACCATGGTTGCAGCCCAAGTCATGGGGAATCATGTCGCTATAACCGTTGGAGGCAGCAATGGACATTTCGAGTTGAATGTTTTCAAGCCAATGATGGTAAGCTTTAAATTTGATTTTTAACGTTTTTTGACTGAAAGCTAATTGTCTTGGCTTTTGTCTTTCAAAAAGATTTGTAGAGATTCCATATTAGAAAGTTGGATGACATAAGTAGCAATTGCAAATCAAGCATTTATTAATGTTAGAGGAATAAACCTAGATATTAGGAATTAGGTGACTTTTAGCTTAAATGATTTGATGGTTTGCTTTTTTTTTTTTAATAGCCCCAGTTTAAAAAAAACTCTCCCCCACAGCCCTGTCTCCTTTCTCATGCTGCTGCTTTCTTCTTTCTTCAAATTCAGTCTTGAAAGAATAACCCATATTCATTTTCACTTACACTGTAATCACTGAAGTCCAGCTCAGCCCTCTCCACTTGTGCTTAAATTGCTCTCCCATTCGTTAGTGGCCTCCTCACTCCAAAAGACACCCACGGTTCTTCTTACCAACATCTGATGCTGACTGTCCCTCCTTGAAATATTCTTCATCCTTGATTTCCTCAACATTTATGCCCCAGTTCTCTTCCTGTTTTACCTCCTCCACATACCTTGAAAACATTATCGCGTCCACCAAAACTGTTCTTTTTCTTTCATCTTTACAAAGATTGAGCAAGGTGGAATCATCTTTCGTCCAGTTTCCCCAGACAGTGGAGCTGTTGTCATCATTTAGAGCCCTTCATTTGCGTAAAATGTTATTGCTAAGATATATTAGAGGCTTATTTCCTCTTACTGTCTGATGCAAAGTTTAGTTTTAGTTTGATAAGAATATGCAGATGACAAATTTTAAGTATATTCATTCAGTGTATTCACCAAATATTTATTGAGCACTACTCTATCAGGCTTTGTACTGGGTGCTAGCGACAGAGCAATGAACAAGACAGATTTTTTTCCCCTCATGGAATGTATATGCTAGTAGTAAATAAAAAGACAGGTCAAAGCAGAATTCAGACCTATAAAATTTTGCTTCCAGATCAGATTCCAAACAGTTAACACCAGCTGCCTGGCATATTTAGGTGCTAACAATAAATGCCATTTTAATCTACTTTTTGTCTTTTATATAAAACAAATTAAGGTAGTCAACATTTGCCTTATAATGAAGTCATTGGTCTCATATTAAACCTTAAATTTCCTTGCCTTCTATTAGAGTCCATTGTGGGAAGTATAGTTTTCAGACTCTGGGGTTTTAGAGCAAAGGGTTTAGGATGTGGATATATCTTAATATATATCAGAAATGTTACCAAAAAGAAAAAAAGATGCTAAAACAAACTAATTGATTTTATACTGTCTTAAACACTGTATGAAAAGTTATTTTAAAGTGATTGTGGAATATTTGTTTTGTTAAGCATAACAAACCTGGTGATCATTGAGAACTAGGAAGCCCTGACTTTACTGATTGCCTCAAACAAATGCTGAACTTTTCTAACCTTTGCACCATGGCTCCCCTTCCTTCTGCATGGAAGATTCTTCTTCCATCTCTGGCTAAGTCCTCTCCATCAAATAGGACTTCATGGTTCCTATAATTGGAATTAATTTCTCTTTCTCTATGATCTCTGACACTCCTAGGTTATCTTGTATTTTAGTTACTTATATCTTTTTCACCTCTTTTAGACTTCTGTGCCTTCAGATGTTTATAATTTCTTTCATGTTTGTTTTCATGGGTATAAAACACTAGCCTTACAATTGGTAGGAGTGCTATATGTTTATTGAATTATGTATTTACTGTGAACCAGCAAATAATATGTTAGGCTTAGTAATTTCTCTCTTTCTCTCTGTCTCTCAAAGATTAAAAATGTGTTACACTCAGCCAGGCTGCTGGGGGATGCTTCAGTTTCCTTCACAGAAAACTGCGTGGTGGGCATCCAGGCCAACACAGAAAGGATCAACAAGCTGATGAATGAGTCTCTAATGTTGGTGACAGCTCTCAATCCTCACATAGGTAAGTAAGGGTTTAAGGAATAATGATGTCATTTTGAATATAAAATAGAAAAGCTGAAAAATTTGTAAGAGAATACTGAATTCGTATTTGAGGATAGCAAATTCCTTTTGGACATTGTTTCAGTAAAATCTCTTAAAATATTTAAAATTGTTAAAAGATACTATATATAATTATAACATTTATAGTGTCATAGTTCTTTCAAAAACTCGATCCATTATGCTTTATTTTATTCACAATGTGTTGTATTCAGAAGTAGAAGTTCAAACTTATTTTAATCTTAATGGCATTCAGATGCTAAATATTCTATGCAGATACTCAGGGAAGGTTAACTGTAAGACCCTTGGCTGGTACTGTCACTAGGTGGCACTGGCTGATTAGCAGCATGGAATGAATTCATTCTTCTACCTTCTCCAGATGCTCTACGATACTTTGATTTTATTGTTTTATTCATTTCAAGAATGAAAAGTTATTAAAATCAAAGAGAAAAGGTTATGTATTCATTGCTTATAGGAAATAGGAGGAAAATGGAAATATTTTATCTAAAACCATGCCTTTGTATTGCAAGCCTTTGTCAGAATTATAAATATTTCATTACGTAGAATCAAACGTATACTTTTGGGTTGTAGAGTGACCATAGTGATCCCATTGAGTAGACTGTTTTGACTTTTGTAGGTTTTGAGGCATTCATTGCATTGTGTTATCACGTGTTAAAAGCCATTTTCCCCCTTCTCCTTAAGGCTGAATTGAGATTTACATATTCTTTGATTTCCTATTTTAGAACAAGTTATGATACAGTCATTTGGCATGATATGGTTATTGCTTTAAAACATTTTTCTATAATCCTGAACTTTCAAAGGCGGACTTTATATTCCTGGTTTCACATCAAGCTATAATTTTACTTTTTTAAAGTTAGAGCTCATTTGACTCCCTTAGGTTGCTCTAAGCCCAATATATAAGTGTGTGTGTGTGTAGTAGTGAGATTGATAATGATATTTTGATCCATTTAAAATTTTATTGTACATCAGCGTTCAACTGGAAAAATGCAAAGGAGAACCGAAAGGCTACTGTGAGAAATGTTTCCTCAGGTCCTCACTTCAGAACTTGTCGCCAAAACTTTTAAAATAGAGCTATCTCCTGAGGCTGGATGATTGGTAAATCGTTCTTGAAATCAATGTAATATGAGGTAAAAAGGCTGGTCAGAGGTCACTCAAGGATAAGATGGGCAAACACCACCTTACTAGGTGACTGAGCACAAGCCTCACAACTCTCCAAATCATGGGTTCTCCGTGTCCTCATTATGTAACAGGCCGATTGCTAATAATGTGGGACTTGAGAACAGAAAGTGGTGAGCATTAATACTTAGACTTTAAGGTCATCATGAACATAAAAGTGCAGGATATTATATTGACCCCAAGAGTTTAATATATTCTTTCTCAGAGCTACTCTGCTTTGAGAAAGATGCTCTTTCAGTAAATGGCATCAGTAAAAGCCCTTTTCAACATGTTTAGCATTCACAAATTCAGTTAAGTAATAAAATTAAGTATGCCCATAATTTGTTTTATAAATGGTTAATAATTGCATACTGACATGTAACATCACATCTGCTTGATGATCATATTGCCTCAGCAGGCCTCTTCCCTTTGCTCATCTTCCTCTGATCTCGTTTTCTTGGTTTTTGTTTTTGTCCTCCCTCATTGGTTTCATTTCCATTCTTGCTTTCGACTCCTGACTTTTTTTTAAATTATGTTGAGACAACTTGCTGAACTACCCTGCTCCCTACCCTACCCTGCTCCCGCCTTCATTCATTTAAAAAAGCAAATGTGATCTTTTGTACAAGTCTCTATGTCTGCTGAAACTCCCCCTTGTAATGTCAGGGAAGAGGCCAGGGAATGGAAGCCATTGCAGCAGAGAGCTACGTAGACAGGAGTCGCTGCCAGCAGCTCTGGAGGCACCTGTCCTCAGAGCCCTGCCTGTCCCGCCCCCTGGGAGAGGACTCCTCTTCTCCTCTCACCTTGCAGAGCCAGCCACCACAGTGGCCAGTCGTGCAATGTTGTATTTTCTGCAGGACTGGAACATTTAGCTTGTTAATGCTTCCTTAGAAAGTAATATTTCTGGTTAAACATGTTGTCTGAAAAATATACCCAGGTATGTATTTTTATGTCTTGGTGCTATAATTTCTTTTTTTCCCCCCATGAAAATATCTGAGTTAGTAGGCAGTTTCAACTTAGGAGTGAACCTGTTGCAGAAAGTGAGCTGTGTTTAAGTCTGTATTTCTTAAGAAAAGTAAAGAAAGGGTTTTTTTCTATAAAAGAAATGAGAGTTATTGAGCTAACCAGTTAAATATTTTTAAAAATAAAAAATGTCACTTATGAGGCTAATATAGCATGAATATCAAATAAACAATGATGATTACCTTTTGCTTTAGAAAACAAAATTTCACTACTAACTCCTATGTCACCTTTTTATTTTTTTCTTCAGGGTATGATAAGGCAGCAAAGATTGCCAAGACAGCACACAAAAATGGATCAACCTTAAAGGAAACTGCTGTTGAACTTGGTTATCTCACAGCAGAGCAGTTTGATGAGTGGGTAAAACCTAAGGACATGCTGGGTCCAAAGTGATTTAAATACATTTATAATGGA